CCCTTTTTTTTTTTTTTTTTCGCCCCCCCAGGGGGGGGGGGGGGGGATAAAAGGTCCCCCGGGTTCCCAAAAAACCCCTATTTGGGGGTTGGAGGCTTAACCCCTTCCAAAAATTTCCCCGGTTTTTGTTTTTTTTCTTTACGCTTTTTTGTGGGTTTTTTTTTGTTGGGGGCAGGGGGGCCGATTTTTGTTTAAACCCCTTTTTTTTTTTCCAAAAAATAGGCCCGGGGGGTTTTTAAAGGTTTTTTTTTTTCAGGGGCCCGGCCCGGCAAAAACCCCTTTTCCCCCCCCCAGGAAAGGGGGAAGACATCCACAAGATTGGAATTCCCCCCCTTTTTTCCCTTGCCCCCCCCCCTGTTTCCCCCCGAAGCCCGATTAGGTCCCCTCAAAATTCCCCCCCGGGGCCCCCCCCCCCCCCCCGTCACGCACCTCTCGCTCACGCGATTGCCATATGCGTCTCGCTCACTCCGCGGGGAAAAAGGCGCATCTGAGTCGCCAGCGAGAGTTCTTGTACGAGGAAAGCAAGATCCCGCCAGGCGACGTCAAAACTGACTCGCACGGCGTGGTTTTGTGGTCAACTCTGCCGGAGCCAGCCAGGTCAGCGGGGGGTTCGGGGTTCGAGGGTAGGGGGGGGTGAGGGTAGGTCCCGTCCATCCCAACCCGTGCAAGCTTTAACAAGTTCCGGAATTTTCTTTTTGCTTTGTAGCATTCGAAGCAGCCACGCCTTGTGCACCCCGGGATCCGTGCGTGCCGGTTTTCTTACGCGTTTTATTCTTGTCTCTGGCAGAATTAGTGAGGTGGGTTGTTGCGTTGTTACACAACAGCAGTAGTCCCGCTTTGCCTGCTAGATACATGACAATAATCATGCAGTGCTTACAACGACTCAACCGCAGCCGAGCTTTCATGACTCACAAGGCATTCTCTTGTTTGCTTTGTACAGCAGTGTTCCGGGAGTGGTTGGGAGGGAGGGGGGGGCGTGGTAGTGTTTTTTTCTCGCCTGATGCGTGAGGAGATTAAACACGCGCCTACCTCATCAAATAGAGACACCACTGGCGCTACCCTGGGTCGCGATTTTGCGTTTGTGCCATTAGCTTGTTTCTCTAGAATTCATGGCGCCGAGGCTCGGAGCAAGGGCATTGTTAGCAGCAATCATCCACTGCTTGTCAGATAGGCACGGGAAACTATGCATACCAAGGGGCACTGGCACTGTATATTGTTCTTCAGTCGGAGCGCCTGTGCTTGGGCCTGCTGCTGCTGCTGCTGCTGCTGCTGCTGCTGCTGCTGCTGCTCCCGTTGCTGCTGGTTCCTCCACGATTTAACGGCACGCTAGGACTTGAACACTTGCCTGCTTGAGCCTCGAAGGCCTCTGCCGATCCTCGCCTGCCCCTTACACCCCCCCGTCCCGTCCCGTCCCGTCCCATCCCATCCCGTCCCGTCCCCGGTGCGCGTTCCCGGTTGTCGGGAACCGGCCGATCGATCGATACGATACCTCGTCGCCAGGCTGGAGCCGGATCGCACGACACTAAGAGAGCTTGACGTGAACCACATCACCATCATCGGCACTGTGCTCGGACAGGTACTGTAGGGAACTGGTATTTTTGCAAAAAATGTGGCTCATGCAGCTTTCAAAGGCTCTGTTGCCAGTGAATTTCTACAGACCGAGACGGACCGCTGACCCGGACACCACGCACGCGGGAACAAGCAAGCGACAATACCATGGTATAAACGTAGAATTTCCTACTGGTATCTATCTCGGACCGACTTCACATCTTGATGATCGTGTTTTTCACGGCGGTCTGTTGTCGTTCTTGCATCGCACCGAGATGGCGGTGTGATCCTCCGTGTCTCCCCTTTTTTCCCGTTTTGATCTTATCCGACATGATACTATCGAAAGTGTAGCGTGTATTGAAGGCGTTGGATGTTTTCGTGGACTTGGGGGGGAGGACTGCCGACCTGTTGTCGCTTTAAAATGAAACGAGGCATGCACCGCACCGCAGTGGAGTTAGGTTCTTCTTTGTGACCCATAGATGGGGGCCCTCCACTTGGTGAAGCAAGACTTGAGGGTATCGAAAAAGACGTGACAAAGCGAGCGGTGATTCAAGAAACACGAGGTGACCAATGCGAAACAAAAAATGTAACGTTCGTGATACAGCAGATAGGAAGGATGCGAGGTCATCGCCACGTGTTTGCATTCCTTTCTTCTCCTTCCCTTCTTTTTTTCTTTCCTTGTATCTTTTGTTTTTTCTTGTCGAGTTCTCCACCCCTTTTGTCTGGTCTTCTGGAGAAACGTGAAAGTCTCATGCGTAGCCCTCGCATGTCGTTTTCCTGTTCTTGTTTGGTCCCTACTTAATGTTGGTTCCCCTTGCCTCCCCGCGAGAGAGACCAGACGGTGGCTCTTGATCACTACGGCGACCTCGTAGACTCGATGATGTCCAAGTTCGTCGCCATCAACAGCGGGGTGGAGAAAACGGTAAGAGAGAGAGAGAGGGAGAGAGTTAGAGCTATCTGTTAAATTTCGGCTGCCGTTGCCGCTGTGGTTGTTTCTTGTGGCCGTTGTTTACCTTCCCTTAGAGGTTGTTTGGTTCCGTTGTTTGTTGTGGACGTTATCATCGTCGAATGGTCCGACGTCCCCTGCAAATACACGACGGTATCGAGAGGTTAATTTACTCATACATGTCTCGTGTCGGGGCAAGTTTACCTACTGCCGCCTTCGCTTTTTCGGCACCCCCCCGCTGCTGCTGCAGCATGTGTGCTTGCAATTTTTTTCAGTAAGAAACGAACACAGTCCCCCGTCCATGGTTGGTCGTCGTCCAGGGTAAGTTTACCGCGGCTCAGAAGAAGGAGCTATTTCAGCTGGTGGCCAGGAACAACACCGTCCGGACGGATGTGATCTCGAAGCTCGGCATTCTCGAGCGGCAGGAAGCGGCGTGGAAGGACCCTGACTACAACTACGTGTGGGAAGGTGCGTGGACTTACGGCTCTGTTGTGATGTTGCGCTTGAAACCGTCCGTGCGAGCAAACTGCTGTCGATTGCGAAAAGGAGGGAGCACACCATTTAAAGTCATGTTTGGGTCGCTCGGAAGGCAAGCTAGTCAATCGTTAATGCTGTTGTGGTTTGAGGACCCGGACTAGCGAGCAGGTGCGGGAGGGTGAGTTCGTCAGGACCTGAAACCTGCTTTGTCTCGACGCACACGGTCCCAGCGAGCTGGAAGAGGATGGTTTGCTGTGTTGTCGTTCGACGGGTCGACGAGTCCCCACAGATGCGACATGGATAGGGGTGGACGAGGCCGTCCAAGAGGCACGCACCCTCGCGGCAGGGTCTTCTCCAATCCGATCCTGTACGTTATTTAGTTTTGTAGCGATCTGGGCGGTGACTCTCTTGCCGCAAGTTGCGTTTGGACCGACAACATGCTTCATGGTATACGTTCGACGCAGCCTCACAGAGACGCACCGAAAGTTATGTTGGCCCCGAGTCTCTCACGGCACGATGCGAGCACAGGTAAGACATGGCCGAGTTGCTTCTATCATCTAGACAGGACAGGCCAGTTTCGTGCCCTGAGGTTCTTGACGGGACATGATGACAGTTGTGCCATGTATGCATAGCTTACAGCTTGCCACGTGCATGTGCGTGCTGCTCGTAGAATACGGTCGGTTCCCGGAACAGGGCGGGCGAATCAGCCTGGAACATACCCGCCCTATATGTATGTTGCTATTCACTGAATTATCATGTGCGTTTTTTTTTTTTTTTGACAACAGGTCTTCGGGAGGAGTTCGAGATGGACAGCCGCCTCCGCAAGATAGAGTCCAAGCTGAGCATGCTGCAGCAGAACACGAACTTTTTCATCGAGATGCTCCACAACCAGAAAAGGTACCATCTAACCATGTAACCATGTAACCATGAAACCATCTACCGTATGTACTAAGCACGCACGTCGGTCGACACTGCTGGGGTGTAAGATCGGCAAACTTGGGAGAAACGACTTCAACACATCCCCTTCGATTGCCGTGGTATTGTCTCGAACGGGTGCCAGCCTTATTGTGGTTGTATGCATATTTTCCAAAAAAAATCGGCAGACGTTCGTCGAAGTTCCCAGCCCTCGGCAGGCGACATACTGCAGCAGAACATCCCGATCTTTCGCAGTTTCGTGTGGTGTGTATGCCGCAAAATCCGACGTAAGGAACTCGTTCCTCAAATATCGCACAACCCGCAGCCTTTGCGCGCGTTTTTTCGTCCTCGCCCGCCATTTGTTCCCGGTCAGAGCCTGTCGCTCGCGATGTTGCCAAAGTCTTGTTTCCTTTTTTCTCTTGTTGGTTCGGTCGTAAAAGTCTGTCTCAAGATGAGCCTGCTCTTCCTAACGCGATCATGAAGTACGACGGTTTCACACAAGTCCCTCGCCCCCCCCCCCCCCTCTTTCGCTCGCCCCGCTCTGCCGTACTCTTGGTCCGGCCTCCTTCCTGTGGTACCTCGCTCCGGCTATCCTTCCCCGTCGGCGCCGCGGCACTTGCTGACGACCACGTGGCTGGCTTTCACGACATGGGGACTGACGTCATATGATGGGTGTGTGTGATGGGGATGACAGCACCATGCTTGAGTGGACGATCATCGTCCTCATCGCGGCTGAGATCGTCGTGGGAGTGTGCGACCTTCTGAACGTCAAGCCTTTCCCATGAGCCTGGTGGCACACACCGGCTTTGATGCAACTCCAAAATTCACTTTTGGGCTGTCGCCGTGGCGGCGGTGGGCATGGCTGCCTTGGGTCGGAGAGCGCAGGCGCAGCCAGCGCTCTACGCGTAGAAATAAGAGAAGATGTTGCGTTAGGTTTCAAATCAGGGCTGTAAAAACGATAATACTACCATGCTGCCCGGTACGGAGCTACGCTGCCGGCGCGTTGTTGCAAGCTGCGGCGCGTCAGCAGTCGAGAGCCTTCTGTATCTTGCCGCCAAGCAAGCACAAAGACAGAGAGGGAACGATACGCGAAGTACAACACCATACCGCCTCCGCGAAGCTCCATAGATTGAATCAACAAGACGAAGCCGTACTGCTGTGTGGCGTTCGTCCGGTTGGCCGTTCGACACACGTCTAACGTCAACCGACGACATCACCGCCGGTACATGGATACATGTGGTTCATTTTTTTGTTTCTGCCCGCCACTCTTTTGGTGTTGATCCGGAAACCTTTGCTTTTCTAAGTCCGTCTCTTGGCTGCATGCAAGTGGGGAATCAACCGCACTATTTACTACTCCTATTCTTATCGCACCGACCACGCCCGCGGGGTGTGTGTCTTGGACGTTGATCAGGTATTGTAATAGCCGCATCCGACAGTTACGATGAACCGGTCGTTGGGGGAGCTCGGGGCAATGGTTGAGCCCTTGAACAAAGTACAACTGTTCCGAAACACACACGAAACACTACTCTTGTCTCAGGGGCAAAAACCATCGCAACGTCATGCAGTGCATGAAAATACATCGCTGCTGGATGTCGAGCACCCCTCGCACGCCACGAATGTCCACTATCGTGCAACGGACGGAACAATGCCTTGAAGGCGTGCAGTCTTTCTATTATTTTGACGCTATCAAGAGTAGACGCCTAAGAGTAACATTACTAGTAGTCGCGGAGGCCGACAGCGCGGCAATGAGGGCCTCTGGATGTATCACCCGGACACGAAATACCTCCCGTCTTGTGTGTCTCACACCCCCCAGAGAGAGCATGCTCGCACATGTCCCAAAACAATCCGAAAACAATCCGAGGCTTGGTTTCCACACCACTTGACCTTCATGACTCCCTCCACCGTTGCATCCATCCTTATCCTCACACACAAGTCCTGCCTCTATAAACACGTCAATTTCACGAATCTCACCCCGAGATAAACACGCACGCTCTCCGTGAGCCCGAAGCGGCTCCTCCAGACGTCCCGGACACCGCCGGGTCATTGCCACCAACCTCGTGCTTCATTTCTCTCCTCGCCTCTTTGTCACGACTGCTACGGGGAAGGACCCCCACGAGAAACCTTAGCACTCTTCCTTCTTGTCAAAGGCGTCAAGCAGCTAATGCATGCATCACCATCACTCGTTGCTGAGGTTTGGGACGGCATGAAGCCCGCTCCTCCTTCTTTGTCAAAGGAGTCAAGCAGCCTCGTCATACCAAGCCACTGCTGCGATGTGACGATGACAAGAACAACAAACCCTGCAACCACACGCACGGATGGGTGCGGACCACAGCAGCAGTCACGTCCATCTTCATCATCATCATCACAACATCATCACTCGTTACCGAGGTCTAGAACGGCCATGAAGGCCTCCTGGGGCACGTTGACCCTACCCATGGACTTCATCCTCTTCTTGCCCTTGGCCTGCTTGTTGAGCAGCTTCTTCTTCCTCGAGATGTCGCCACCGTAGCACTTGGCCAGGACGTCCTTACGCATCGGCGGGATCGCCGATGACGCCACGGGCTTCGGGGAAGCGAAAGGGGGGGGGGGGGGGGCGGGGGGGGGGGGGG